GACCCCGACGGCTTCTAAGACGATGTGGACCTCCCTCCTGGTCATGAATGTTGGACTGGCCTCGAGGCCAAGGCCAATCACGCCGCCAATCTCTCTTCTCAACTCTAGGTCCCTCCCTCCCCTCTCGCCGGCCCGGTTGAATTAGTCGAGCCGAGTGGGGCTGATTATGAGGAGTTGATCGATGAAGAGATAGAAGACGAGCGGCCAGATGAGCAGCAGGGGATGGAGCCTACAGGAGATGGGGGTGTCGTTACAGAACCCGTGGATGATGGAAATGCAAATAACGCCGAGAAGTCGACTGCTGACTCTCAGGCTTGATATCTATGTTATTTTCTCTTTCTTTTTTTTGTGTTGTTTTTTTTTTTTTTTGTTGCCATTCTCGACCTATTTTCTGAGGTTGTAAAGGTCGAGATGGTTTTCGGATGTACTAATCGTTCCTTAATATAATATCCTTTCTGTTCAATATAATGCTCTCTTTCTGTTTGTCGTTTCTGTATTTTGTCGACTTTTCGTGGTTAGCTATGCTTGTGGTTTTTCTTTCAATTGTTCTTAATTATTGTGAGTGTTTTTCGATGTTTGCACCGATCTCGAGTTCTTTATCTCGTCTTACTATGTCTTCTCCCAACCCTTCTTGCGAGCTGGTCGAATTCGAGCAATGGTTTCAACAGCTTCATAGCTGTTGAACGAAAATTTTTTTCGAGTCGTCTTCTTCCAACCATTCTTGCAAGCTGGTCGAAGTCGAGCAACTGTTTCAACAGCTTCATAGCTGTTAAACATAACTTTTTCGAGTCGTCTTCTCCCAAGCCTTCTTGCGAGTTGGTCGAAGTCGAGCAACTATTTCAACAGCTTCATAGCTTTTGAACAAAACTTTTTCAAGTCGTCTTCTCCCAACCCTTCTTGCGAGCTGGTCGAAGTCGAGCAACTGTTTCAACAGCTTCATAGCTGTTGAACAAAACTTTTTCGAGTCGTCTTCTCCCAACCCTTCTTGCGAGCTGGTCGAAGTCGAGCAACTATTTCAACAGCTTCATAGCTGTTGAACAAAACTTTTTCGAGTCGTCTTCTCCCAACCCTTCTTGTGAGCTGGTCGAAGTCGAACAACTGTTTCAACATATTCATAGCTGTGGAACAAAAATTTTTCGAGTCGTCTTGTCCCAACCCTTCTTGCGAGCTGGTCGAAGTCGAGCAACTGTTTCAACAGCTTCATAGCTTTTGAACAAAACTTTTTCGAGTCGTCTTCTCCCAACCCTTCTTGCGAGCTGGTCGAAGTCGAGCAACTGTTTCAACAGCTTCATAGCTGTTGAACAAAACTTTTTCGAGTCGTCTTCTCCCAACCCTTCTTGCGAGCTGGTCGAAGTCGAGCAACTGTTTTAACACCTTCATAGATGTGGAACAAAACTTTTTCAAGTCGTCTTCTCCCAACCCTTCTTGCGAGCTGGTCGAAGTCGAGCAACTGTTTCAACAGCTGTCTTGAGTCGGCCTCGTAGCCGCGATTCCTCTTTGAGTATTACAACTTCGTAGTTGTACTAATTGACTTTGTGGTTAATAGAGTATGTTGGCTATATAGCCGTTTTGAAAAATTTGATTTATTCCAGTAATCATAAGAGATCGATGCGTAAGCGTAGAGAAAAGCTCGATAGTTGTGTTCTCTCGACTTGGGCTACGTGATTCGCCTTGGCCCTTGTCATATCTCATTACATGAGTCGACTATCTTTCTACTAATGATTATCTTTTTGGGATAAGTTTTATGCTCTGACATCCTTTTTTGAATTTTAAATTTCAAAAACTCAAAATGACGCGCGTCAGCCCAATCGTCGACTCTTCGACAGTGAAAGCTTTGGCTCGCTTCGAGAAAAAGAAAGCCCAGGCGGCTGAGAAATCAGCTGATCCTTCTACCCCTCCAAAGAGACCTGAGGGGGGCTCGGGTTCTGGCTCTAAGACTGCCGCCAAAAAGTCTAAGGTCGTGCTTCCTTCGACGTCTAAGCCGAATCAACCGTCGGGCTCTCACTCTGACAAGAGGGCCCACGATCAGAGGGATATGACCTTGGTGCCAAGCACCTTGAAACGTCAAAAAGGGAAGGAGCCGGCGGTTGAGAAAGATGCGGGACAGTCATCGCCCGTGAAGGTGCAGCCTGTGACCCTGCAGCAGCCTTCTCGGCTTTACGACAACCCTGACCCAATGCAGATTCTTAACTATCTCCACTCGACTCTTCCCGAGGACGACAGGACTCGGACCAATGATAACCCTTATCATCGGGCCCGCTATGCTGCTCGGCTCGTTCCTCGGGTAAGCTTTGTTTTCTCGTGTTCTCTATCCAAATTCTACTTGTCTTATCATTTCGTTCATCATTCATCGTTTCTTTTTTTTTTTTATGTTTAGCTTCTCGCCTGCATCCTCCCATCCATGATCGAGGAGGCGTCTTTCCCCCAAACCAACGTCAAGGTTTTGGTGGAAAAATACGCGGCTAAGTGCGAGGAGCTCGAGGCAAAGGGAGAGAAGATCGAGGCTGCCAATGCCGTCATTGCCAAGCTCTGATCTGATAAGGAGGCGGATGTCCGGAAGGCCGAGAAGTTGAGAGCCTATCTGACTAAGGCCAATGATGAGGCCTTGGTCGAGAGGGAGAACGGGCTTCAAGAAGGCCGCAGGACCTTCCTGAAGTCTCTGGCTGTCGCTGTCTTCCTTGAACACTATCGAAAGGCCGTGGTCGAGGCGTTCTGCAACTCATCCGAGTTTCTCGACAAGCTGGTTCCCACGGCTGTATAATATTTTGACTTTGCTCGTGACACGTGGGAGCAAGCCATGGCCAAGCCCGACTTTCCAGGAAAAATCGACCGGGCAGCTGTGAAGAGGACTCTTCTCGACCCCGACGACTTTCAAGACGTTGTGGACCTCCCTCCTGGTCATGAATGGTAGACTGGCCTCGAGGCCAAGGCCGATGGAGGAAAACCCAGGTCGACTCGAGTTGGTACCCCGAGTCGACTTAGGACGTCTCGAGGCTCATAGGTCTCCGACGACTCTGATATACGTCAACATATCATAAGGAAGCTATTAAGGATAAGAAGGTATCTTGATGCTGACTAGGAGATGGACTGAATGCGAACTGACCAGGGTATTTTGGACATTCCCAGTAAGTCGGCCAGGGCATTTTGGGAACTTCAGGTAAATGTTTTGCTTCTATATAAAGGAGCTGAGGTAATCCCAAACCCTAATTCCCATTCATTCTACATTCTCCTCCATTGTTGCTGCTCCCTCAGAGCAGCTCTCTTCATCTCTCTCACATACTGACTTGAGCGTCGGAGGCTCTACGCCGGAAACCCTTCCAGCATTGAGATTTTGCAGGTATTCTCGCGGTCTAGCAACGGTTCGAAGGCGATTTAGACAGATCTGGGCTCACTTCTACCGGTTCACTCTAGATCTGAGAGTAGACCCATCATATATGTGTGTGAATGTGGGCCGGCGAGCCGAATATGATAGCTTTGTGCAAATATCCTACTAGCGGTACATGTTGATGCCGACGACACTTGTAGAAGCGCCTGATGTCGGGTTTACTTACTAGGGGGATCAATTGTTGCCGATGGCACTAGTAACCAGTTACTAGACCAACGTTCATGAACTTAGGTTAACGGTGTATAATAGTCAATAGCCCGGTAGGTTATGGAGGCTTGAAACAAGAGTCACTAGTCCAAATTTACATGGAGGCTTGAACCCAGTTTATCAAGGAGACTTGAAATAAGAGTTACTAAGTTGGGTATTTATCAGTG